AACAAATGGCATAAGAAACTTCACGTTGTACTGAATTCGATGATGAACTATGCAATGCTACTCAACTGCTTTTAGTTGTAGCTGGTGCTGTTGTTGTTGGTGGTTGGTCACTTGCTACTGCTGCTGCAGCAGCCGCTGTTGCACTATTTTTTTTTTAGTTTTATTTTAACCCAAGTCATCCTGAAGTTTGGTACAACTTTAGTTGTGACCACAAAATCTGGTTAAATGTCTCGTAACCCATTGTTGTGGGTAACTTGGTATTGCTGTTTTTGGCTTTAACGGGGAGTGAAATGCCATCACCAGCACCAGGAGGGTTATAACTTTTGAAAGAGGCGAATTCAAAGTTAGCAGCGGAGAAACAATAAAAAAGGAAAATAGGATTCTAATAATTTTTATTTTGGGCAACACGATCTTGTAAAAGTAATGGGTTGTTACGCTGATTTATAAGTAGTTACACAACCAAAAAATTGATATTCAAAATTTTGACCCTCTGTGGGGGAGCTACTTGATTGGGTGGACCGATATTATCCATTTTCACATCTGATTAGGATTTTCAAAGTTGAAGCAAGATCGGATTATCCCTCTCCATGTGCAGTAAAATATGTTTTTGAAAATGTCGATCTTTTGTGGGAGAGGTACCACTATTAGTGGACCCATATTGTCCATATCCCAACTCGATCTAAGTTTGACAATAGTATAACCATGAACCAAGTTTGGACCAAATCGGAAACTCCCTTCGAGAATTATAAAGCGCACCAGACATACAGGCAGACGGACGGACAGAAATCGCTAGATCGACTGGAACGGATTTGGTACAAAGAGACCAAAGTCTAAAACCGTTATATCGATAAGGAACGTTTTGACGGTACCTCCACATATTCGGTATTTTGATGATTTTAGCGACATTATTAACCAGAATTGTTCAAAATTTGGTATTTGAAGCCTATGACAGAAAATGTCTGTGCAGGTCCACGTCTTCGTATATCCCCAAATAACAGTACCTACTAATATTGGGTATTTTCATGATTTTGGCGTCATTGTTCACCGGAATTGTTTCAAATTACGTATTTAGAGTTTGTAATGGGAACTACTACCCGGCCGATCTTACTGTTTTTTTAACTTGTTTTGATGTCAAAATAGTTCACCATAATGAAATTAGTTTTTTTTTTTTCATAAATGCAAAAAATATGAGTTTTGAATATTCTCCTAGTTAGAATAGTCCCCATTTAATAACCCTTTGGCCTCCCGCATTGATATTCACTAAGAGGTTTTTGTAGTTTAACAACATCCTTCGTTTTAGTTTCGTTTCACTTTTTTTTTTTGTCGTCCAGTGAATTCATTAAGGTTTACTGGAACTCTGGCACAGGAGTTGTGATTTACTTGCTGTTACTTAGCTCCATCAAACGTTTTAATGCGAATACAAAGTAAATTAACTTAAAAGTTTTCCACAGTCCTTTCTCCTTCAATTTCCATTTGCTTTGGAACTTTGCAAACGCCTTTTTGTTGCAGTTGTTGCATTTAAGTTCTAAATAGTCATTTAAAGAATAGAATGCGCTTTTGTTTAAGAAAAAATAGATTTTTAAAAGGAAGATTTTTTGGTCTTCCATATAGAACCCGGTTGGTTTTCTACGAAAAGGTTTATTGGTAGTGTACGAAAATGGTTCTATGTTCTTTCATAAAAAGACGTTTTTGCTCTTCATGAAGAAGGCATTTTGGATTTTAGTGAAAAGAACATATTGGATTTTGATGAAATAGACCTTTTACTTTTCTATAAATAAATGCCTTTCTTTTCTACGAAGAATGCCATATTTATATTACCAATAAGTCCAGTGGTTCTTCCATTAGGGAGACATATGTCTTCTAATAAGCAGATCTATTGAATCAAAATTATTAGACTCTCCTAATGAAAACCTTTTACTTTTCTATGACAAAGACTTGTTTTATCTTAATACGACCTAATGTTTTTTTAGCTGAGAAGAGCTGTTGGCCGTCTATGGGTTGTCTATAAGGGTTACCTAAAGATCCTATTGAAAATTGGCTATATCGGCCCACATTTCAGTGTAGCATTCATATAATGGTACCTCGTGATTAAGGCCATTTTGATGATTTCAGGCAGAATTTTAAACCAAATTACTTGTAATTAAGTATATAGTTACCTTCAGAAAAAATATATATGATATACACAGGGTGAGATGAAAAAACTGCAACCAAATTCAGACTGCTGTCATTTCTAAGCCACTTGTCCGACAGTTGTTAAAATTATTCCAGTTACAGCTCATTATATTGTTTACAAACGTACAAAAGCATTTTGGTGAACATTTCCCAGAAAAAAAGTTATTCGTGATGGAATTCAAGCGTGATTTCATTATATTGGGATGGAAAACCACGTTAAAGCACTCCAGCATTTAAATGGAAGAAAACTGCAACATCAGAAAAATTGGTTCGAAAAGTAAAGAAGCGACTTGATCGAAACCGAAAAATGGCTCGTGAGCTGAAAATATCACAATATTCCATTCGACAAATATAATCAATATAAAATGAACTCAGGGTAAAGCCATTGAAATTCCAAAAAGTGCAAGAACTTACACCACCACAGAAAGAAAATAGACTGAAAATAGCTAAAGAGTTGCTTCGCTTGGCCAAAAGTAATGAACTGCCGAGTTTGATTTTCTACGGTGAGAAAACATTCGTTGTCCAGCAGTTTGTAAACAAACAAAATGATAGTGCAAAAAAAAAATGTGCACCTTAGGGTGGCCACAAGAACTCAAGCACCGGCCATGGTGATGGTGTGGGCCGCCATAACAGCCGATGGTCGCTCTTCGCTCGTATTAGTCGATCGTGGTATAGAATAAATGCCGAATATTATCGCGAAAATATTCTGGAGGGTGTATTAAAGTCTAGGGCACGCAAACAATTTGGCCGCAGACCTTGGACATTCCAACAGGACTCAGCGCTTCATTTCCAGCGCACAATGGCCACCAAAATGTCTGGATACCAATCCGTTGGACTATTGTGTCTGGAGTATTTTGGAAAGCAAGGTTGGCAATAAAAAATACCAAAGTGTCGAACACCTCAAGCAAGCGCTTCGCCGTGAATGGGCAAAAATACCGCAGAACAACATTCGGGCAGCGTGTGACGGTTTCGTGCCAAAGGTGACCAATTCGAACAAATCTAAACTCATTCTAAAATTTGTTGCTATTTACGAATTAAAAAAAAATGTAAAAATTATGGCGTGTGACTTTGTTGCAGTTTTTTTTTATCTCATCCTGTATATGGATAAAATTTTGACATTTGATATTTAGATTGTTGATGGCATATGTGTCATATAAATTGCAGTGGTTTGGAAATGCGTCCTATATTTGTACGAAAAGTGCTATCAGAGCGGAAACCGTGAAATTCTATATTGCGATAGCTGTTAGTGTCTAGAATTAAGATATGAAACGGTTTTTCAAATAAGTACTAAAATGATACGAAAAATATTTGAAAAATGTCGTATTAACTGTATATATACATAGAGCTGGAATCCTGAAATTGTTATATTGAGGTCACTGTTGGTTTTTGTGGTTTTTATATGTAAGCCTTAGAATATATTTGGACAGAAAAATTGAACGTTGGTCCATTTTGCAATGGTTTTACTAATATCCTTCTCGATATACTTTAAATGAAAGCCTTTCCGATTACTCTTTCCGAAAAAGAAAAAAAAAACTTGAATAAAATATACAGTCTTGAAAAAGTGAACAAACGATATATGAAGTTCTGATTAAAACATTTTGTCAATCTGAACAAATTATTAATTTTGATTACAAATAAAGGCCTAACACGAATTGTTGCAACGAATCTTCAATTTTAAGGTGAATTTTTCGCTGACGAAGTGGCGGACACTTTCTAGTCCATGTGACTCTTTAGTATGTTTACAATTTTGTTTAGACCGCCACGAAATAAATGTTTTCTTAAGTTATTGAATATTTCTTTCATTTATTTCTTTGTGATACGACTTTCTCCACTTTCTGTCATCCATCAAACGTTCAAACATTCCTTTCGCCTGCAATCAAATTGTGGAAAAAATCACTTCATATTTGCCAACAATTTGATGTCAAAAAAAAAGGAGAGACAAAAACTAACCAATTATTGCGTCAATGTTTGATGATGATTATGTTAGATGGAGTATGATGGCGACAAGTGGTCTGATCTAGTCCAGGCGGCCACATACGCCATTTATTGACCTTTAGCGGCCATTTAACGAATCTATGACTGTGGAATCCAGAGCCCGTACAAATGAATTCAAAGATTTTGTGCAAACAAAAAATTTGGCGAATGTTTGCCAACGAGGCGTCATCTAAATTAACGAAAACCCAATTTGTTGTTTGCACTTCTTCGGTTAGTCAGCAAATGTTTAATTTGCAAATTTGTTGTATGCATTGCAGCGGAGGTTGGTCGGTTTGGTTCGGTCGGGTGGTTGGATGGTTGGTCCACCACCAACATTCATCAGACTGATGGTTTTCTGGTCACTTTTTTTTTTTGTTTGATAAAAATTTAAGAAAAAAAATATTTTAACACATAGACGTTGAATGTGTTGCCACATTAATTAACAACAATTGAGAATGCATCTAAGTCATGACGTTATGTTGCTGCTATTTGTACGCCATCGCAAAAAACACCCTCTCTCCGTAGGAATTCTATGTCAATGACTTGATTGAAATGACCTTAATTTCCTTGGGTACAACGCACCCAAGAAACTCGCAAAATAATGCGACTTCGTATTTAATATTTCGCAGGGGTTGTAAGCCTTAGATGCGTTTGACGTAACTTCTCCCCCATCACAAGTCTCTTCTTAAGAAAATCTTTTGACTCCTTCTTTGTTTTGTGCATACATTTTATTGGGTCAAACTTGAAGAATTAGAAAAAGGGGGAAATTTTGTTGCCTTCATTGGGGGGTTAAATTACAATACATTTTAATTGGTAAGCCATTTAAATTATTTATCCGCTAATTAAACACTTACCTGCAGCTGTTAATGCCATATCGAAAAATATGGAAATTGATCTAGATGGGTTAAATCGTTTCTTGTGCCTTGTAATATTTATTGGTCCCAAAGCCATGGTCGTTGTTATAATCAGAAGATCACTTGCGTGGCCAACAGTTTTTCCAGTTTCTGGAAGAAAATTAAAATGAAATAGTTGTTAATTAACGCAAAAAAGTAGTAAGGAAAAGATAAATGTAGAGGAGGGCCCGACACAACTAGGGGTATCTGAGAGAGGTGTCTCTAGTAATAGATGTATATTTATATCCGAAAACGGATGAAGCATATATAGCAACTTAGTCAAGAAAGAATTCATATTTAACGTATAAATTTGTATGTTTTGTGTGCGATCTTATCATAAAACTGTATATGAAAATCAGAGTTACCATACTTTATTCCAGTCTATATATGATCGATCCCACAACAATTGGGCAAGATATGACCATTTATATCAAATCGGTGCGACTTATATTTTATATATAAATTTCAACCGTGTTTTTAATGACATATGTATGTGATACCTCTATCCAAATATTATTTATATCGGGAACTTATTTTGGCCTTGAGGCCATAGGTGTCTTGGCTTGATATGGTCACTGGCACTAAATGTTATTGTTTTCGAGAGTATGTTACAACTTTGGGGAGAAATAAATTTAAAATCGGTTGTAATATATATAGGTGTTATACTAAAGTGTTCCATACACCCTGACTTGAGAAAAAAACACGTCAAAGTTTGAATATCGAATTTTTTGAGTTGGCTGAAAATTTAATAAATATTTTTGGCTCGAATTTCTAATAATAATTTCTATCTATCAATATATATATTTGTGAATATCTGTTGGATGCAAATGTGCAAACGCCTCTATAAAAATACTAGCAAGTGCCCCGTACTTTTTCAACGAAAAGTTCACTTAAAAATTTTAGATTTATCCCAACAGTTCATGTTAGGCCTTTTTAGTACTCAAAATGCACAATTTTTACTTTCAAGATTTAGTATATTACTCAAGTTTTTATTTTTTCTGAAAAAAATAATAGGAAAATGTTGTCTTTTACACCAAAAAATATTCAAAACAAGTTAAAAAGTATCAGTCGGTATTGCCGCCAGATATATACCCTCAGCCTATATTCGATTATTTAAACATATTTTGTCTTGTGTTAAGATTATTCAAACGTTTGACCCTATATGGAGCAGGCCCCGAAGGAATGGGCCAATATTGACTTGGGAATGGACCAATATTGACAATTTCCTATCGGATCCAAAAATATGATATAAATATTGCGAATTATGTGCCAAGGAATGGAATCGGATGTTAATTTGGCGTTTTATGAGCTTCATGGGTACTCAAAATGTCAATATTTTGTGGGGAAGGTACCAGAAGGAGTGGATCGATGTATTCCCCCTTCATACCAGATCATGGGTTAATACAAATATTAGGATGTGTGAAATTTGAAGACAATCGGACTTTTACATCACATTTAATGAGAATGTAATTATTCAAAATTTTGACCATTTGTGGGAGAGGTACTTGATGGAGTGGACCGATATTGTCCATTTTCACACCTGACCTAGCGCAGACGCGAATATTAGAATATGCAAAGTTGGAGCAGAATCGTATTATCCTTACTCTATGTGCAAAAAATATATTTTTTGAACATTTCGACCTTTTGTGTGGGAGGTACCAGAAAGAGTGGACCGGTATTGTTCATCTTAACAACATACCTTGGGTTAATTTAAATATTGGGATGTGTGAAATTTTAAGACAATCGGACTCTTACATCACATTTTATGAGAGTTGTAATTATTCAAAATTTTGACCATTTGTGGGGGAGGTACTTGATGGAGTGGACCGATATTGTCCATTTTCACACCTGACCTAGAACTGGCGCAAATATTAGCATTTGCAAAGTTGGAGCAAATTCGGATTATCCCTTCTCTTTCTGTGCAAAAAATATATTTTTTAAAAATGTCGACCTTTTGTGGGTCGACCATCTCCGAACTCGATCTAAGTTTGACAAAAATATTACGATGTACCCAATTTGGACCAAATCGAGAGTTATCGTGCGCACCAGCCAGCCAGACGGACGGACGGACATCGCTAGATCGACTCCAAATGTTCTGAAACGGATTTGGTCCAAAGAGACCTAGGGTCTAAAACCGTTATTTCGACTAGGCACGTTTTGGCCGTATCAAATGATATATACCCTCTGTAGCCATATGGCTGAGGATATAATCATTCACATTAAAGATTACCGAGGGGGATATTGCACAATAGAATCACATCTACAATTTCTGTCCATTCTAGTGTTGCGTCTCCATATGTAAACCCTAGAAATCAACCCCAATATCAAATTTCAGAATTTCTGTCCTATCCCTTCAGCCAACTACAAATTAATTAACATTTGGCAGACACATCAAGAAAATCTACATCTACTCATCCTAGACACCAAAAGTTATCCAAAAATTATACAATTTAGTAATTTTTGAACAATCATATTACGCATATTCAAAACCAAAACAAAGTCCTTATTTCAGATACTATTCAGCTCTATCTCTTCACTTAATACAAAATTTCGTAGCACTTATAGACGCATCTTCATAATACCAATAGTGATCTTAATATTAAAGATGGGATTCCAACCCTAGCCATTGCCAAATTTAGTACCATATGGTAACATTTAGTTCGCATATCCCATATATGGAAATATCATATTTCAGGATTTCAGCTCTGTCATTTGCCCCATTGCCAAATTTTGTACTATTTGGTACATTTATAGTACGCATTTCCAAAGCAACTCCATATTTAGCCATAGACACCAACAGTGAGGATCTCAGTACCAAATATATATATATATATATATATATAGATAGATATATATATATATATATATTTATAAATTTTAGTATTTTTGGTACAATTATAATACACATTTCTAAGACCACCTTCATATATAACCTCAGATACCACAAGTGTCATCCATGTCAAATTTCCGAATTTCAGCTTATGTAATTTTACCCATTGCCAAATTAAGTACCATTTGGTACAATTATAGTACGCAATTCAAAAACTTCCTCTATATTTTACTCACAGATACCGACAGTGATATCTATATCAAATTTCAGAATGTCAGCTCTATTCCTATTATTACAAATTTAGTACTATTTAGTACTTTCCCTATATAGTAAACTTTTCAAACCACCTCCACATCTCAAATTCAGATACCAACAGAGACCTCAATATTAAATTTTATGATTCCAACCCTATCCATCCACCTAATACCAAATTTAATACCACTTTGCACTTTTAATTTCCAAACCAGTGAAATGTCAAACAAAGATACCACAAGTAATATAAGTACCAAATTTCACAATCTAATCTCTATCCCTTCATCCAATATCAAATAAAGTGTCATTTACTACTACGAAAGGCCTCCATATGTCCAGGCTGCACATGGACAGCGCCTCTAATACCAAATTTCAGATTTCAGGCACTCTCTGTTCACCCAATACCAAGTTGTATCAAATATAGTACTATTTAGTGTTTTTCGTGAATTTATAGTACAAATTTCCAAAACCCCTTCTTTATCACAAACATACCACCAACAGGGACCTCAATACAAAATTTCAAAATTCCAATTTCATTCATTTAACCTAGACAAATATGTTCCACACTTAGTACACATCTCCGAAACAATATTCAACCTTGATTTTAACATTAAATTTTAAGTTTTTAGCTCTATCGGTTCACATAATACCAAATGGTTCGAGTTGTGCCAATCTAGTTCTATGGAACGAACTAGTTCCATATCTAGTACCTGGGACTCCGGTCGTTTGTTTGAAAACTCAGCGTATGAGTGATATAAAATGTATGAAATTTATGAAATCACTCATACTGGTGCAATGAACTATGGACTAGACTGGCACAGCTCTACAAATGTTCCATTTTTGAAGTTTAGCTCCATTTTAGAACTTTTCTAACCACAAAATTCGAATTTCCCAAAAACCCTTTGCTGTATCAATCCTTCACTCCATCAGTGACTCTCAGCCCAAATTTCAGAATTCCAGTTGCATCGGTTCATCACAATTCCAATTTGTGCCAAATTTAGCACATATAAGTACGAATTTCCTAAGCTTCCTACACACCCCCGCTCACATACAAATTTTATTGTATTTAGTACATTTTAACAAATATACATACAAATTTCCAACACTACCTACATATCCAAACTTACACTCCGGCAGTAATCTTAATTTCAATTTTCAGAATACCACATCTACTGGTTCACCCAAAATTTAAATTGTACTAAATTTAGTACCATGTATTAAACATCAGTACGAATTTCCAATAATACCAACATACCTCAGTCCTATAATGCAATAGTAATCTTATTTTCAAATTTCATGATGCCAACTCTACCGATTCACCCAAAATTTAAATTGCACCAAGTTTATAACGATTTAGTGCACATAAGTAGAAATTGCCAAAACTACCTACATTCCTCAGTCCTATAATGCAATTGTAATCGTATTTCTAAATTTCAAAATTCCAGGTGTATCGGTTCACCCAAATTGAAGTTGTTCCAAATTTAGTACCGTTTAGCGCTTTTCGTGCATATAAGCACAAATTTCGAAAACTACATCCTCACATCGACCCTACTTCTCAACCATGATTACTATTTCAAATTTAGTTCTATCCGGTCACATGACACAAAAAGGTACCAAATGTAATACAATTTAGTACTTTTCGTACACTAATAATGCGGATTTAAAAAAACCGTTGGTACATTCATCATACACTTCATCAGGGACACTCATTCCAAATTTAGGAGTTCTAGCTCTACTGTTTCCTCAAATACAAAGAGCACCATATTTAGTACTCTTCAATACTTTTTGTACTGTTCTAGTACGAATTTCCAAAGACCCCACCTTATCTAAGCCCTTTGGACCAAGGGTGACCCTCACTCAATATTTTAAGATTCTAGCTCCAGCCTTTTCGTCTGGGCGATGATGAATCGTTAAGTCAGTCAGAATTTTAACATAGAATAAAATTGGTGAAATAGGTTTGAAAATAAGTGGTTTGGATAAAATGCAAGCTATTTAAACAACTATTAAAAACAATATTTATAATTATTAA